TCCACGATGAGAAAACAAAGCCTGACGAGAAAGAGAAGAGAAAGTTCTCCTAAGTCCCATTACCATGATCCCTTTGAGTTCCTGGAAGGCCGAACTGGAGGGCTTCCTCTCCATCTGATGAAAGGAAATGGGAGAAAATGGCTGTTGTAAACAAACAGCGGTCTGACACATTTCACTTCTTTTTTCTCTCGTTCAGCACTTAAAGGATAACTGCCGCCTCGCCACCAGGACGTGAAATTGTAGTCGAGCATTAGGACGTATGCTTTCCACAAGAAGCAAATGTGTTAACACACAATCATCTTGAGTCCCGTCAATTTTTCCACCCTCATTATTTCTAATTACCTTGCAGAGCCGGCCCTAATGCTATCTAATTTGGCAGCGCCGACTAAAAGATGTCTTGACTGTATGACATGTTTTATCCAAAACAAGCAGGTCCTGGATAATCCCACACACTGATGGCGTTAAGAGCACCCAACAATGGCCGCGTACCCGCGTGGAAGGGCTCCCTCAGTTGCTGGGTGCTGCCGGTGGTGTATTTGGGGGCTTTTTAACAGCGGAAAACACACTTTGGCACATCCATTATGGAGCTGGTCCTCAGTTTGTGGAGTTTGAGGATGCTGACACGTCATTTCCCGGCTGAATGGGAGGTAAAACTACACATACATTCTAACTCAGATGGAATATGGTTATTTCACTAGGGGAAAAATCACTTGCAGGCTTACAAATGAGTGTATTTTACTGCGTTTGGAGCTGGTCAGGAGGCTCAAAAAACTTTGTCTGTGGTTCACGTGACTGTCAAGTGACCGTTTGATTTGATGTGACGGGATCTAACAATGAGACTAACCCACGTTTTTCATATTGCCTTTTTTGACAAAAATGGAGATTGTGTTAAATTCCTTAGAGGCCGAATGTGTAAAGCAGTGTGAAACCAATAAAAGTGCAAAGGATTCACCAGCACAGTTATTTAATTTCTGATTCAAACTTTGAGGACTTTGACGGGAAATACGAATTCAAAATCAAGAACTGATTTGCTCACTAGGCCGGGTCTTTGAGACAGAGACAAAAAATAAACAGAGACTAAAACAAATATCTCTGGAGGTATTGTAAGACTCAGAATTTCCTTTAATTTACATCCCACACCGAGCAGAAGGAGAGCTCACAGATAGTTTTAAATGGTTCTTATACTCTATACACAGAGCAGAGGGCTGAGGATTTACAATGCAGATCGAACCATTTCAAACTTTATTTTCCTCCAAACAGAAAAGTAGACATCATTGTTTGTAGAACTTAGAAATGATTCGTTGTCAGGGATTAGCCTGTGTTTGTTGTTGTTGTATTTCTAGCCAAAATCATCACCTCAAAATCAAGAATAGTTCTGGTTTTGGGGGGATAAACCCCCACATACAGAAGAGTGGACTTACCCGTGTCCTGTTCTTCGCCGGGGACTGTTTGACAGACCGAAGTTTAACACCTTTCTTTATCCTTTGCATCATTTCCTCCACAGCCTGCTGCCTGACGTCCGCCTCTGTGGCACACAAAGGGAGATCAGAACTATTCACACCAGGAGATTAAAGCCTTAGTTAACCCATTTTGACACAAAACGCTTGTATGAATTTCACAAGATTAAGATGTAAAAAATGACGCAATCTGCTGAGCTCAGGTTTTTTTCTCTATAATAGATGTGTCTTAAAAATATTTATTCATTTTCATATTTAGGGCTCCACACAGAGAAACCTTGCACAATAATAATAATCTCTGCTATGGTTTGAAGTTTTGCAGTATTCAAAGGTCAGAGCTTTTGTGGTGTGAGGTCACCAAAATGATTCCTAATGACTCCATGTAAGAGAACGCAGCATTCAGCCATTTCTTGTCCAGAAGTTTTTCAAGGAGAGTTTCAAAACCGGGAGAACAAAAAATGTAAAAAACCGCAACGACGCTGCCTATTTGCACAGAAATGTGAATATTGAATTTTCCATCAGAGAATATTCAATAGCGCATACAATGGGACGTTTGTTACAAAGACCTTTCTGAAACCGTCGCACAAAAAAAACCCCTCTCGTGCTAAAGAAATAGTCAAATATTTCCCTGGGTGCATAAAAGAAGCCATTATTCCTGTGTCAGACTAGGGGATCCTTGGGTGGCACCTATTCAGCCCTGTATTTAATTCTGACAAATATTAGGTGTGCAGGGCCCGATTCAGGCATATTCAACAGCTATTGAAGGGAATGAGAAAGCTCTGCAACCTGCTCAGTCAACGCGGAAGTCCTACCGGCTCCAGCCAGTCAAGGCTTCCCTTCGCTTTTGTTCTGCACAGATTGAAGAGTTTA